CGCCCCTGCCACTGACCCAGCAGCAAAAGCCCACTACATCTCAACCAGCTTGCCCTAGCAGTAGTCATAGCTACTGTCTAGTAATCTGCTCCCAGTTATTCCATGACTAAACCATGTCCTGGGCACATACAGCTGCCATGGGGATCATTTAATCCATTCACACAGAAGCAGATTTCCAAACCACGGGCCACTTCACCCAAAGGAGCAGTCAAAGGTCATAGGGCTCTTGTTGTCCTTCACAGATACTGTGACAAGACACCCCAAGACAGCTCATTATATTACAATCTTTGCTCCTTCCCCACTGCAGTTTCACAGCGTACTTGCTACCTATTTAACTTGGTCCCAAGACAGGGACCCAAGCACTACGAACAGTGACCCAGTCTCCCCACTCCCACAGTGGCCGAAACCCAGTTCCACCCTTCCCAGATGCACACTGGTGGCCCCCAGTGTCCTGCCAGCTCTCACCAGGCAGACCGCTGGTGTGATGAATAACCAGCAGTACTTGATAAGAGGCCATGGCCGATAGCCAATCATGTCTTCAATATTATCATAGAAACGGTCAGCTCCTGAAGGGAAGGGAAGAGGTACCCTATTAACAGAAGGAACAACAGTAACAGAGGTAGCTTCTCTTGCAGGAATCCAACCAACTCCCACTGGGCACTGCTGTGAGGCACAACCTCCCACCATCTTCATCCCAGGATGCTCAAGCAAGGACACATAAAAGGAAGGGTACAAGGGTATCAGGTTTATCAAGAAGACCCGTGGACTGATTGAGAGACCAGCCCCACAGAGAACCAGGCAGAAGGCTCCGAGTCATTAAAACTCATCGACTCCCACTTACCGTACACCCAGCCAATACAGAGCGTCTCAAAGATGGCAACGAAGAGCAGGCACATGCCACTGGCAGCATAATAATCAAATAGTTGGAAAATGTACATCCCACCCTGGGAAGGGGAAAGGAGGTAGGGAATGGAGAGAGGAGAGAGAAATCTAAATCAGGAACTAGTGAAGAGGTTTATCCAGAGAAAGAACCAGCTCCATTCTACCAAGAATCCTTGGTGACTTTCTGCTCCCTTACAGCACAATTTCAGTCAACTGCAAGCAGAAAAAGCCACTCCCCTTATACCCCAAATATGAAGCAGTGCCAGGGACCTGCCTCAAAATCCCAGTCTCAGTAGACCATCGGTGCTCTGTCTATGGACCCTCATTTCCATGAGAAGTAAAAAGGCAAGTTACTGTCTATCTGGGCACCTGTGGCTATTTAAGACAGACTGGAAAAAATAATTCTGACAAAAACAAACAGAGAAAGACACCTCAAAGGCAAAAAGGCTTAGTGTCCCTGATTTTCCAAACTCAGCCTCCAAATATGCATCAAGACTGTGCATGAATTCCTCAGGCCCATCATCATGGGCTCACCTCTTGGCCCTTCAGGTACTTACCTTCCTTGATCTGCAGGCACTGCTGCAGTGAATTCCAGGCCCCAAAGTGCCAGTACAAAGCTAGAGGCAGCTGTTCAAAATCAGGCTCAAAGAAATGCAGGAAGAGGCAAAGAAAGACCACCAGCCCCTGGACAATAGCCCCTTCCTCTGCTAACAGGGAAACTAGGCACGATTCTGGTTCATCCCAGCTCGTACACCAGCAGAATTTCACCGATGTACACAAGGTCAGAGTAAGTCTCATCATATTTCACTGTAAATGCAAATTGCTAGCTAGTCAGGTAGGAGGAAGGAGGGCAAAAGGTCTCAATTAATTTGCAACTGAGATGGGGCTATGGCTTGCTTTGCTTTGCAAAACAGTGACCAGAATCTTAACTTCTAGCAATTCACTCTGATGTCAAGGTGGGATAGTTTCATAGTTGGTAAGGTCGGAAGGGACCTGAGCAGATCATCAAGTCTGACCCCCTACCATGACAGGAAAAAGTACTGGGGTCAAATGACCCCAGCAAGGTGTTCATCCAACCTCCTCCTAAAGACCCCCAGGGTAGGAGCCAGCACCACCTCACTTGGAAGTAGATTCCAGGTCCTAGCCGCCTCGACAGCGAAGTAGCACCTCCTGATATCCAGCCTGAATCTACCCAGTTGGTAGTTGGATGGATGTCCAGGCTACATGTCTACAGAAGAACAGGATCCAAGGGTTTAGGACAGGAAGGGAAAAATGCAATATCTGAAAAGTATCACAGGGGAAGGAAACTGCAGTTGCCTAGGTTGGAACTGGGTGGATCACTGCAACTACCCCCACTTTGTTAGAAGACACCCCAGGATCTTACAAGTCCACTACAAGCCACTTTAAAATCTTACCCAAAAGTTGACACCTCCAGCATGAGTGTGCCTACTAGCAATTTGTACTGAGTTCAGAGGAAAAAGCACTACCTGCTGGTCAGGAATCCAGGTTTTCCATTTCCCTCAGAAAAATGGAAAAAACCCACAGATTTTTCCTTTTAACAAAGAAAAAAAGTGGGTTTTTTATTTTAATGGAGATACCCACAGATTTTCCATGTTTGCAAAGAGCTCTCTGCAGGCTGGTAGAGTTCAAGCATGCACAGGCTTCTTGCAAAAAGGGTGACAGACCCTAAGACCTGTCCCAATGGAGAGGGAAAGGGGGATGGGGCAGGGCCTGAGACTCTCAGGCAGCCAGGGCTTGGCTCAGGCTCACTTTCCCTCCTGGAGTCTTTGGGGTAAGTGGGACTTGCAGCAGGCTGGGGGCAGCTGGGGGCCCCCTCCAGTGGTCTGGGGTGGCTGGGGGTCAGGGATGGGGGGCACCAGCAGTGCTGGGTGAGGGGGCCCTGTGGGGTGGGTGCAGGTGTAGGTGCAGGGCTGGGGGTGGGGCTATGGGAAGAGCCAGCAGAGCAGGTGGGGGTGTATGGGTGGGGGCTGAGGGAGCCAGGAGGTGTCCGTGGGAAGCCCCATGGCAAAGGCCAGCCAGCCCAATGGCATGTGGACTGGGAGCTGCGTGCCACCAGGCCAAGCGGGAGCCACACACGGAGTCATGGAGTCATGCACTATCAGTCCAGGCAGGCTCCATGGGTGGCTTCCTGATGGAGTGCTGGAAGCCCCATGGCCAGCTCCGTGCCTCCATGTAAGTGAGGGGGGCAGCAGGAACTCTGATTTTCCATGATGAAAAGCCCAAAATGAAATGCCAAAATATATAGGTATTTAGAATTTCTTTTATTAGAGTAATTGAGGCACTGGTAGGCTCCCAAATTTCTTTAAAACTGTATACACATCAATAAAACATTGTATTCAATTGATACAATGTTTCAGTTGAATACTGAACATTGTATTCACAGAGAATTTACAATTCACAATTTTTTTTGTACTAGAGAATTTGCTATTTTTATCTGAGAAAACCAGGATCCCTGCTGCTGACCCAGTAACAACACATCTAACAGCACCTATTGGCCTTCTTTGGGTCTCCCATCTGAGCACTGACCCACTGAGCCTCTGGAAAAATTACATGCTCCCAGACCACCCACAAGGCCTAGGGCCCTCTTTCTGTTCCGATTCCAGTTGGGCATGACAAGAGCATCACACAGATTATGAGCTGTAACCTACCTCAGTAAGCATAATCAGTCCTATCAGGTATGAGAGGATGGAAACAAGTAGAATAAGGATCTCTCGGCGGTTTTTCTTCCGGAAGATGTTAGGATACATATCAACGAGTGCTGTCACCAGGCTCTCCACACAGACAAACTAGGAAGAGAATTCACATGCCCATCAGCTCACTCCTATTACACCAGCTTCATTTCTCCTCTACTCTTCATTCCCCCACTCTCAGCACATGGATACTGCAAAACCTGAAGCCCAGAGAATGCCCCAAACACTCTGTGATCCTGTGATCTTTGAATAAGCTATGGGTACTGCATAGGGGCTGCACAGTTTACAGGATATCTATCCAAATCCCTTCCTACACAGCCAAGAAACTTTCCCCATGACATCTGGAATGGGGAGACTCGAGGTCATGGCAACAGCATCAGACTGGGCCCAGATCAGACTGCAGCATCCAGCATCAGATCAGCATCCAGATCAGACTGGGCCCTGCTGGTACTAGGCACTGCAAACACAGACTAAGCAGCTGGACACACAAGAATGTCTACACTCATGTAACTGACTTTTATATTGCTGTGCAGATGGTTCAATGAGTGTGTAGATGGTTCAAACCTCTGCACACAAACTGAGTAATGTCACCCAACCTGGTATAGAATTACCCCCGAGAGCCTCAGTAATAAAACCGCACTAGCATACTGTACAACACGGTAGAGGTTGTGTGTCTTATGTACACTCCAGGGCAGATATTGCACAAGATAAACAGGCATAATTGGCAAGGGATCTCATAGCCTACAACCTGTAATACTGGAATAAGCTGCTGGCTAGTCTGCTTCTGATCCTGGTGTGATTTACATGGCTGTCCAAAGCTATTGCATTGCGTGTTGTGACAGTAGCGTGTTGCATGTCCAGGCTCTGAAACAGTCCTTTCCTCAAAGAGCATGCAATCAAAAACATATCCAGGCTGGTTTTAAACAAGCAGGTTTAGGGACAGATACCAGCCTAGCCATGGAATCACAAAGTTCAGTGGGACTGCCTATCTGCCAGTCAAGAGGGACAAATGTGTGCATGTGTCTTTACCTGGCTATCCAGTCCAAGCAAAACGACCATCAGGAAGAAAAAGCAGGCCCAGAGTGGGGAAAAAGGCAGCATGACCACAGCTCGAGGGTAAGCAATAAATGCCAGACCAGGCCCTGAAAAGAGAAGGTAATTTATGGCAGGTAGTGATGGCCAGATCTGAAAGCCAGCAGCTATACTAGCAGCCTCTAAGAAAGGGAAGAAGAGGTCATCATAGCAGCTCAGCACTGCTCAGAACTGGTCTTCAGAGTCCATCCAGCTGCACAGTACATACTCACCTTCCACAGCGCACTCCCTGTCGCTAGCAGCCAGTGACCAAAAGGCTTCAGTGCTGGGAGACAGAGTGGAGGAAAAAGAGCAGGCTACATCTATAGGACCAAGGGGGAGTGGAGAAGAGCCACAGCAGGCTCCAGTTCCATCATGATGGCTGAGGGATGGAGCAAAACCCTCTGAGAAGAGGCTTAGTATCCAGGCAAGGCAGACATGGCTTTAGCTCTTAAGGTTGTGTGTAAAAGATCCTCACACAGTAAACACTATGAGACATTTCTTTCCTACCTCAGGAGGATGAGTGGACTCTGCTGAGATTTGGACCTGCAGTTGCAATAAGTCTAGTTAGGCTAGAGTTCATTACTATAGGGCCAGCAGCTTGGGGATGGGTATCTATCTACCTCTCTGTACATTGCTCTGCTCTTTATGTGAACTTTTTTCTCAGGTAGTGCAGAAAAGGAACCCGATGTTAGGAGCAGGCAGACACAGGATGGCCTCGCTGTGTCCTGAACACAGAACCTACTCACCTGACTCAGCTACCTCAGAAATAGGCACTCCCTGCTCCTCAGCCATAAAGCCCAAGATGGAAAAGATTGCAAAGCCAGCCACAAAACTTGTGCCACTGTTCAGAAAACAAAGAGCGATGCAGTCCCTGGGAAGGAGAAGAGATGAGCATCAGCCTGGGGGCCCAGCCAGCCAATAAGAGAAAAGTATCAGCATATTGGAGGGGGTGAAGGAAGGGAAAGGCAAGGCAATCAAAAATAAGCACCAGCCAGGGACAGCAGCAAAGGAGACAAAAGTGTCCTCCTAGAGATGTACACAGGTTCTAGTCTATACTAGCAGTTTCTGTGCAGGTATCTGGACACCACGAGCCTGTGAATGTATGTAAGGATAAATACAGGATATTTGCACGGCCACAGCATGATGCAGCATCATCACATGTTGAGGCAGCATCCTCGTCTTGCACAGTGACAACCACATAATGTCACAAGACCTGAAATAAACCTGGACCTCTCAATAATTAACACTGATTTCTCTCTGCTCATCATACTGTACCAATGGAGTCCTAACAATCTTATCTGTCCACACCACACCCCCATCAGGTGGGCATTACTCCCCACTGCAGACAGACTGAACTGACCCATGGAGAGACAGAGTGACCTGCCCTAAGCCACACAGTGAGTCTAGGGCAGACCAAGGGACTTGAACCTGGGGGTCCCAATCTCAGGTCAGCACTAATCATGGGGGCCTCCCCCCGCCCCTCCCTTCCTGAAGGAATTGCTATGCAGGATCAGACCCATGAACTGTCTGTGGCAATTACTGGATGCATCATAAAAAGGCCCCAGAAAAGTTACCTCTTTAAAGCCCAGTTCTTTTTGTTGTATCCCATTTAGCCCCAATGAAGTCTTATGGTAGCAAGTTCTAGAAGTCATTTGTGCTTGGAAGTACATGCGTGTGGGGAAGCACTAATACATTTCTTAACATCAGTTTTAAATTCAGCATTTTTAGTGCCATTGGATATCCTCTGGTTCATACATTAGGAGAAAAAATAAATAGGAGCACCCAATTTACTTTCTCTAAATCACTCATTTGAAAGCATTCTTTTTAGCATCTACCATGTCATCTTTTATTCATCTCCTCTTTAATACTAAACAGCCATGATCTATATTCAATTTCTGTTCATATTCTAATCTCTCTCCATATCTAATTATTGTCAATGGCTGTCTTGGATCCCTGTTTCTGCTACATGTTTAGAAATGTAGGGACCAGAACTGAACACACCATTTTGGGAAAAAGTATACTATAGATTTCTGTAAGAGCATTCAATATAGTCAGTATTACCATCTCTCCCTTTTTCCTTAAAGAGCCTAACATTTTATCTGCGTTATAAATGCCTCCACACACACATCGAATAAATATCTTTATTTATACTCCCCCACACACACACATTGAATAAATATCTTTATTGAACTGTCCACAATGGCACCCAACTGTTCTATGAGAGAAGTTTCAGTGTGGTTAGCATTCCTGAGGTGCAGAAATAGTTAAATTAGTCTTTCCTGCATACATTACTTTACATTTGTCACCACTGAGCAGCATCTGCCACAATGTTTCCCAATCACCTATTTTAATTATGTAGGAACATCAGGCTGGAAAGGCACCGTTTACATAGTTCACTCCAGTAACCTGGCAACCACAGGCTATCACCCCTTTCATAATTTTATCAAACTCCTTCGCAAAAACTAGCTCAGCTTTTTGTGCCACCAAGATTTCCTATTGGGAGGCAGTTCCAGACCTTCAATGTCCCAACAGTTAGAAACCTTCTAATTTCCTACCTAAATGTATCTGATACCAGCTCATACCATTTGTATGAGCCACCACTGCTTGTGCCACCACTGTCTTTTACTTTAAATAGCCCTTTTCCCACTCTGGTGTTTACCAATTTGATGTATTTATTAGAGGTTTGTTCTTTCTGCAGTTCTCCATGATCTGCATTAGTTTTGACCCACCTAAATAACTTTGTCTCACTAGCAAATGCTGTCACCTAACGTAGCCCCCTTTTCCAGGTGATTAGTAACAACATTGAATAACAGTGATCCTCATAGGACTCTTTGGTGCCCCATGCTGTTATATTCCTTTGCTAGATGGAAAATTAATCATTTTGACTATGTAAGCCAGGCCTGCAAAAGGTAGGGCAGATCTCTTGAGATGCGGGACTGCAATTGGGGAACGAAAAAGTTGAAGGATGGATACCAAAAATACATTGCTATTCAACTGCAGAGTTCAGTTGCAAATTATTAATATTTGATGGTAATGTGATTAAATAGCTTGTGCAGGACAACCACACATTCTACTGCTTTTTAGTGCCTTGCAGTTGAGGCTCCTGAAATCCTACACAAACTCACTATGAGGCAGACCATTGTCACATTCTCCATTTTATAGTGGGGAAATGGAGAGACAGATAATTAATGAAGTTGCCCAAGACCAGCCAGCAGGTCAGCAGCAAATCCAGAACAGAACCCAGACCTTCTAACAAATTGTCCCAGACCTAAATCACTAATCCACAGTTCCTTCCTCTCCCATACTTTTTCCTCCCCTCAAATGAAAGAATGTCCTGGTACAGTTCTCACTGGACAGGCATCCAGAGCCTCATAACTAGCAATGAAACGTCATCTTAATTTAACGGGAAAAGACCTCGATATACAGCTTTTATCTTTTAGTAGTCTGTAAAGCACCATGTAAACCTGCCATAACAACAACAAATGACAATGCAAAGAAAAGAAATCACAATCTAAAGAGTAAATTTTTTCTGGCAGATGGAGGGACTTGTTTAGATAGCAAATGCAATGTCCTAGTTTTTCCTGCTGTGTGCAATTTATAGGGAGATTGCCCTAACAAAGCCAGTGCTTGCTCAGGGCCCTCACAAGTCTGAGGCCAAGATGCGAGGCTTGTCCACGTCTTAATCCCACAGTAGATGACTTGCACTTACTTAGCTTAGTTGGGCCCACAGCAATTGCCTTCATTACTTGTTCCTAAAACCAGCTCTGCTGACAAATAAATATTGCATCAAAATAACAAGTTTTCTTACTTGCAAGTGGGCAAGTCTCTGGAGCTCCTTAGCTTATTGCACTAGCCTTTTACCATTGGACACTTTTGGTTCCAAATGTCAGAAGTGTCTAAACTGAAAATGAGTTTCCTCCAACATTATTCCCCACCTGAGCACTTCAGTCTGACAGTTCAGTACAATTTAACAGGATTGAGTGTCTCCATTCAGGGGTAGCCCAGCACTGAGCAGAACAGGAGGAGGGCAATGAAGATTAGGAGTGAAATATATTTGGCACTATTATTTGCAAGTTCCAAGATGAGTGGCAAGGTGTGTTACTGGACAGGAGGAGTGGGTGCCTTGTCAGCTGTGTGAGGGACCGGGCCAAAGCAGCAAAGGGAATTATAATTACAAGGTGAAGATAGACTGGCTGAATTTCATGGAAAAACATTTCATGGAATGCTACTGACCCTTCATTTTGCTATCATCAAAATCAACTCACAGGCCTCCAAAAATGCTGTTTGTGCTTATTGGAATCAAACAGGATTCTGTCCCAAGTAAGATTTAAAAGGACTCCGGACAATATAAACAAGTGTTGCATGGAGAGGCAGGACCTCTCAGCTGGGAGATAGCTGCGAAATTTCTGAAGTTCTTCCTAGGGACAGAACATGGAATTGGAGAAAAACAGCTGTAAGGGACCTTAAGAGGTCACCTATTCCAGTCCCTCTGCTCACAGGGGAATCACCCCAATCTAACCTATCTCAGACAAAAAGTCTTTCTACCTGCTACTTCAAAATTTCCAATGAGAGATTTCACAGCCTCAAATCTGTTCCAGTGTTTGACCCTCTCATAGCCAGAAAGTTCCTCCCAATATCTAACCACAGACTTGATTTCAAATATGAGGCAAAAGCAACTGCATTAAGTAAAACTACTGCAAAATTTGTGCTGTTTTGTCTCAGGTAAAAAGGGACCATGAGGCCTTTTCTCAAACCTAAACTGGTCAGTTGTCTCCATCAGCACTTTTGTCTATCATCTGTAGCAGTATTTAGAAAGGAGGAAGGAGAAAGACTACTTGAAGAATATAATTATGTCCCAGTTACCTGTAACAGTTATTATGGTATTTGTTGTAGCTGCCCAAAGCTGTCAGGCATCCCAAACAAATGGCATAAGAAAAGAAGATCTGAGTGCCCGCATCCATCCATACCTGCAAGGGAGACACAAACAGAGGTGAGGAGGAGAAAAGGCCAGCACAGTGTACAGATACCCAGATCTACAAAACCATGTAAGGACACACAGCTGGGCTCCGAAGCTGACGTAACCTGCGTGAAGGACAGTGACAGTGAGGGAAATTGGAAGGTGGAATGGGGCAGGCATACAAGCATGGTCTACAGTACAGCAACATACTGAGATACACTGTAATATAGAGCTGCAGGCAGAGATACTCTTGAATTCTAGGGCACAGTCCATGTTAACAGCAATGTACAGGGGAATTTCCAAGACCTTGTGAAGACAGAGGTACCTGTGACTTTCAATCTTAATTTTTCCTTTAATGCAATCTACAGGGGTTTGTGGCTCTCAGAGGTCTCCAAATAGCAACAAAGAACATATCAGAGCAGAAGCTATAAGACACAGTTGGGCAGTTCCAATCCCAAGCATTAGAAAAGTGCTTAATGAAATTCATTATAGTATCATTTGGCTCAGAGATTTGATTTTAAGATACAAAACAATTTCATTTTATTGAAACGATGCTAGAAGTAATTAAAGCTGTTATAATAAAAGATGTTGCTAAAAAATAAACCAAGGTTTTAGTCTGTCTCAGGGGACATGAGGTGCATTGGAACAACACTTCTCCATCATTGTCAAGAGCACATACAAAAGGTCTCAGGAAGTTATATCAGATGTCTGTCAATGCCAACTTCAATCGAAGTCTAGTTTTACATAATTGCAGATACTATTCACTTTCATTCATTAGGCTTCATCAAAGCGTTAAGCAGAGAAAATCCACAAAAGAAGTTCTCAGTGAGGAAGAAGACAACCACCATAATTATTAATCCTAACACCTTCTATGTTATACTGCTTTTCTCATTAAGATTCTTGATGCTGTTTAAGAACTGTATAGAAAAAGATCAACCAACCACCATTGAAATGTTTCCTCTTCTGGGGAGAAGAGAGAGAAAATGTCTCTTTGTTATAAACACTGCAAAATAATTGTGGGGAGAAGGGGAAGGAAGAGGGAGGGTAAAGAATAGTTTGCTAGGAAGGTTATAATTAGTCAAATTATAATTTGGCCCACACACCATAGATACCATCTCAGCTTTCTGATGCAAGAGAGGCTATGGAATATTTAAAGCAGAGATTCTCAACCAGGGTACCATTCAGATCTTTTCAAGGATGCCACAGGATGCCATGCAACATTCACACTGGTAGGTAAAGCAAACATGATTCACAGGATAAACCTAGATATTTCAAATAGGAATTCATCATTTTAAAACCATTTTGACCTGTTGTGGTCTTTGGAGTTCTTTGCAACAGAAGAATTGTATTATTATTTAGCTGTAATCAATCAGAGCTGGCATTTTCCAAAAGCTGCCTCAAGTTTATAAAGGTTGTGAGCAACTGATTTAAATGAATACAAGGTAGTCAGGAACCTTGGTTTCACAGTCTCATCAGTGTCCGTTGAAGCTAATGGGAAGACTACTTTAGATTCCATCAGGCTTTGAATCAGACCCCTGTTTCTGAACCTAAGAAAAGCCACACGTCTTGGGGCACAACTGAAACATCTCTCATAATGGCTTGGCTTTTGTCATGTACATGGCCCAAATACCCCTTTCTCTATAGTTACTCCTTAAAAAGGGTGGCAAAAAGGATCTCTCTTTGGTACAAGTTCGGTGAACAGCAACACTAGCTAAAATCTCATGCTGAATGTTCAAAGCAAAGGTTTCAACTAATGTTTATTCTCCCCCCACCCTCCACCATTGAATTGTTCCTTTCCCAGAAGTCTTCTGGTTCATCAGCCAGTGCTCTTTTCCCCCAGGCTATTATGTGTGTCAGTGTTGATTCGATTCAATTGTCATTGTTGGTTTAGTTTTGTCTTTCTTTTTACTTTTGTTCCCATGTCGATGTGCATTATATAAGGGATGCTATGATCCTTTCGCTGTTATTTTCTGGAGGAAAATCTGTTCTACCTCATTAGACAGCTGCATTAAATGTTCCTTCCCCCCTTAAGTCATCATAAAAAAGCAAAATCTGTATAATAGAAAAGGCAATGTCCTTATGCTAAACTTTGTTTTGAATGCTTCTGTAGACTGTCTCTTCTGTGAGCAACCCAGCCAGCATTCTCAATCCAAACTCCATTAAAGCCAATGGAAAGACTGCCAATGATTCCAGGGGGAAGTTGGACCAAGCCTTTTAGGCTAGGGACAGAAGTTACACATAAACCAGTTTAAGTGATCAGAAACTGGTTTAAACCTATAACAGAACAAAAGTTCAGTGCACATAAACCAGTTTCAAAATGGAAGAAACTAGTTTAAGATAAACCGGGTTGAATGTAGCATCAGATTTAACTGGTTGAGGTCAAACCAGTTTATGGAACTTCTGTCCCAGACCCCTTCCTGGTTTAAGTTAAATCACAGTCCCCCAGCATCCCAGCATGTTTTTCAGCCCTGGGCTGGGCTGTGCTCTCTGCTCCAGAGAGCAGGACTGGCCCCATCCCTCTGCTTCCTAGCTGGAGCAGAGGCATGGGCATGGCCAGACATTGACCCAGCATGACCCCCTAAGGCAAAGGGAGCAGGGAGGGGATTTATTCCCCCACCTCGCTCCCCTCTCACTGGGGGATTGCAGACAGGGTCTGCCAGCCCTGGCTGCTGCCGCTTGCCCCTGGCCAGGCAGAACCCAGCTGGGGTCACCCAGGGGGAGAGGGGAGGGAGGAAGGAATAAACCCCCTCCCTACCCGCTTTGCCTCAGGGGGCCATGCTGGGGCCGGCATCTGGCCATGCCCACGCCCCTGCTGCTGGAGCAGCAAGCCTCTTCCCAATGTTGTGGGGAGGCTGTGCTGCAGGCAGGAATGGGGTGGGCAGAGCTGCCGCAGCCTGCACAGGGCAAGTGAGGGGATTTGGGGGGGCTATGTCCACTCCAAACTTTGGCTTAGCCCCTCCATGGCCCCCCCTCTGAGCCCCACCACTGTTGCCACACAGGCTGTGGCAGCTCTGTCAGCCCTGCTCCCACCCACAGTGCAGCCCCCCACCACCGGAAAGAGGCTTGCGCTCCCCAGGACACCACAACAGGGGCTGCTGCCTCTGTCAGGGTCTTTCCCCGCCATCACTACTCCAATGGCAGGGCCGGGGGGTGGTCAGACACCAGCCCCCAGCATGGCCCCCTGAGGCAAAGGGGGCAGGGAGGGGGTTTATTTCCCCTCCCTCCCCTCTCCCACTGGGGGGCCCCAGTCAGGGTCTGCCTGGCCAGGTGTGAGCAGTGGAGGTGGCGGCCAGAGCTGGCAGACACTGGCTGCAGTCCCCCAGTGGGAGAGCGGAGGGAGGGGGCAAAATAAACCCCCTCCCTGCCCCTTTCACCTTAGGGGGCCATGCTGGGTAGGCGTTGGGCCATGCCTCTGGAGTAGCAAGGGGGGAGGGACCCTGATAGGGGCTGCTGTTCCCTGGCCAGGCAGACCCCAGCTGCAGTACCAGAGGAAGAAGGGAGAAATAAACTCCCTCCCTGCCCCGCTTCACCTTAGGGGGCCATACAGGGCTGGCATCTGGCTGGGGTCTGGCCATGCTCCTTTTCTGCACCACCCAAAAGCCTGGCACACCCCCTCCTCCTCCAGGCACACCCCAACTGGGGTCCCTGCAGACCAGGGTTGGGGTTTAAACCCCTCACTAATCATACTCAGGCCTGCTAAGGCCTGGCTATGCCCCACCCTCAGCTCAGCTTCCCTCCCGCCTTCCAGCCACTGCAGAAGGGAAGGGAGCGCTTGCTCTAGTGCCCCCTGGCTTCTGGCCTGGGCCACTGCAGGCATGTGGCTGCATTTCCAGAATCAAAAGTGAATGTTTGCTCACTTGCTTGCCAGTGAAATCTACACAGGTTAGACTGACCTGCAAAGATTGAATCGACTCAGGCTCAGCTCTTTTGAATGTCTGTACTTAGGCCCTAGGTGTGAGGCCAGGAGATTCAGAGGGTAAAACTGGATTGGAAACAGCAGAATAGTAAGATCTAGGCATAGGAAAGTTTAAAAAAAATAAACCACAAAAAAACCCAACCCAAACAACAACCACCCTTGCACTTTAAGGGTATATCAAAATCCTCCCATGATTGATTATTGAAAATCTGTTATGAATGGAAAGACAAGAGTATTGTTTTACACTCAGCTCAAAGGAACAGTGTTTATTACAATGTATTTGTGGGTTGGCAGATGGGATAGACAAGTAATCTCCTTTTCACCAAACTAAACATACCTAGTTCTTTCAGCCTTTCCTCATAGAGTCTGCATTTCAAATCCTTCACCATCTCTGCCACCTTTATCATCCTCTTCAGTTTCTCCACATGCTTCTTAAACTGCAGCAGCCAGATTTGTATGCAGTATACTAGCTGGGGCTTAACTAGCACTGACTAGGGTGATGCTATTCCCTCCCTCAGTCATATGTATTCTATTGCATTTAATGGTGGCTAAAGTTGTATTTGGGGTTTTTTGTTTTGTTGTGGGGGTTTTGTTTGTTTTGTTTTGGGGGGGAGGGACTGCATGACACCACTGAGTCATAGAGAGTCTGTGATCCACCAAAACCTCCAAATTCTTTTCATCAATGCTACTGCCTAACCACTCACCTCCCATTGTGTAGTGGTTCATTTGTTCTTTCTTCCCTAAGAAAACATGTTTACAGGCATTCTTATTTTTCAGTTAAAAAAAACTGGGTCAGAGGACACTCCACTCCCTTCTCTTGCCTGGTTGAAAGCAGATCTTCAAGGGCGATCTGAGGGAGCCTGCCATTGGTTCAAAGAAAATACTTGTTATCTGTGAAGTTCTATTGTACAGGTTCCTCTGATTTCCCTCTACTTGTGTAGGCCAAGTTCTCCAGGTCCCCTTGACAAGTCGAAGGTTCTAAATTTATCATGATGGGTTCCTCCCCATGCCTAACGCAGAGCTACCATTAGACGACATTTCATATTGGGTTACATGGACTAACTACTCTGTTTAAAAAGAAAAATACCATTCCC